ACACACACACACACACACACACACACACACACACACACCCACAAATACACATCTTCACACACTTACACACTTATACACATACACACATCCTCACACACATAAATACACATAAACACACAGAGCTAATAACAACATCTTTTCAAAGGATTATTTATAAAGGACCATGTAAATGAAATAGAATTATGTGCTTTAGTTGGAATCTGAAAGAAACCATGGAGTAAGGTAAACAGAGAAAGACATTCCAAAGAAGTCCAAAAGTTAAACAGAGTAGCTTTGTTGGGATAAAGAAATGGTGGGTATGGGTTAAACCTGAAAATTATTTGAACCTCCCCAAAGCAGAGACCTCAGAAAGGCCTCAGAAACCTCACCAAGCCTCATGGTTGAACAGAACAGTGCTCACTGCCTCAAGCAAGATTGATCCCTTGACCCAGTTACCACAGTGCCCCTTCTAACATTTACATTTCACTTACATTTGATTACTTACTGTAGAGAAGCATTCTCCAAGGGACAGTGAAAGACATGAGACTCTAGAAATGGATGCCTGGCACTAAGAAAAATAGTAACAGGTAGATAAGACATAGACAAGGCATTTGGATATTTTGAATTGATGTCAAATGGGTATCAAAGGCAGATGTTAAAGGACATCACAGACAGGAAGGATTGGGTTGAGCTGGGGATGCCGTAAGATGGAGGTTCCACAGATGAAGCCGGACTGAAGCAGGTGATGATGAACATTGAATTCACTGTGCTTGTAATTTCTCCATTGTATCATCAGTTTTCCCATGCATGAAGCTGGATAAAGTATGTTTTTCTGGTGTATATGTATATGATATACATGTGTGTATGTATTCATGTCTGCATGTATGTGGGTGTTTGTGGGAGATGCATGTGTACATATTAGTATGTGTAGTCCCATGGTTGACATCAGGAGTCTTCGTCAACCATTCAGTGCCAATTGTTTGGGACAGTGTCTTCCAATTGAATCCAGAGTTCGTGGATTAGGATACAGCTAGTCTGGCTAATCAACTTTTCCCCAGGATTTCCTGTCTCTGTCTTCTGAGCACTGAAATTACAAGCAGGCCACCATTCAGGGGATCAAAGTCTTCACCAGATCTGAAGTTTGAGGTACCAGTATCTTAAGACTTAATCATCCAACTGGAATTTCTTTTAGTGTATGGTGTATGATTTATTCTCTTAAACAAATGATGGCCAAAACCATATTATGTTTCAATCACTGTAATTTGTATATTATATGCTGTCTTAGTTATTTTACTTCTGCTGTGATGAAAATACCCTGGCAAAGCCGCTTCAGAAAGAGTGAATTTGTCTCACTGTTCAGAATTCCAGTCCACTGTGGTGGGGAAGTCCTGGCCGCAGGGGCCTGTGCAGCTGGTCACATCACTCCTGCTGTCAGGAATCAGGGAATACTGAGTGCTGGTGTGCAGAACAAATTCCCCTTAATGCACTTTGGAATCCCAGCCTAGAAACAGTGTTACCCAAATTAAGGGTGGTCACCCTACCTCAGTTAATCTCTCATCAAGGTAGTTTCTCAAAACATGCCCTGGGGCTGGATCCTAGGTTATTCCAGATACTGTCAAGTTGATAATGTCAGTCAAACATGACATATGTTATACATGGAAACAAAATGGTCATTAAAATTATTCATGACTCTAAAAGGGAGGACAACATAAAAATTAGGAAAATCATTATAAGAATTTTACGGTACACTCTAAGAAAGGAAATAGGATGGCAAAGTAGTCAGTGATTCTCTTAGTTCTGATCCTTAATGAGGACTTAATCTCCCCTACAGACATGTTTTAGACTGCATGAGGGCATATTGGTAGGTATTACTAGTGTAATTGCTGGTACATTTACTGAAGTGTATTCATCCTTATCCTGCAAATGTGACAAGCTTCCTAGTCTCCTGTGTATGTTTTAAATCATGGCTTAACAGATTGAGATCTGTTTAATAACATGTAACAAATATGCAGCTATTAAATTAGTATAATATGTCCCAAATGCTTGACTAATGTGGTGGTCTACATATAGACACCTGTGTTTAAATACTTGGTCCCTAGTTAGGGGTACCGCTTGAGTAGGATTTGGCTATATGGCCTTGTTAGAGGAGTAGTGGCCTCGTTGAAGGAGGTGGGTCCCTGGACGTGGGCTTTGAAGTCTCAAATGCTCCCGCCATCCCGCCATTCCCAGTTAGTCCTGTCCCTCTGCCTCTTGGTTGTCTCAGCATCTAAGCTCTCAGCTACTTCTCTAATACCATACTGTGTGCCTGCTGCCATGGTGACCAGCATGATAGGCAAAGACTCATTCTCTGATACTGCAAACAAGTCCCCCCACCCCGCCCCACCACATTACATGATTTCTTTTCATGGTGTCTCTTTGCAGCAATGAAAATTTGACTAAGACAGCTAGTACATATTTTTCCTTTTATTGGAAACAGATTCTTTTCTTGTACAATATATCCTGATTCACATACTCAGGAGTTACATTAAAAAAATTAAACTGAAAGCCATGATAATATATGCAGAGACCTGGTGCAGACCTGTGCAGGCCTTGTTCATGCTGCTGCAGACTCTGAGTCCATATGAGTGTTGCTCAGTTGATTTAGAGGGAGCTAACACATTCTTAATGAAGGCTGGCTATGATGTAGTAGAAGTAGATTTAGAAGAAGTAGTAGTAGTTGTAGCCAACATAGAGTGTGGTATAATTTTTTCCTTCATAACAAACATTGATTGGAGGCCAGGGATGCAAGTGGTAGAGGGAGGAAGTACTATTGAAGTAAAGAGTAAAGAAAGATGTGAGTCGGGCGTTGGTGGCGCACGTAGCTTCGTAGATATGCTTGCATCTCCTCATCATGACTCCAGAACCCAAAGCTACACAGAGAAACCCTGTCTCCATAAACAAAATAAATCAAAACAGAAAAACCAAAAAGCAAACAAACAAAAAACCACCAAAGAAAGAAAGAAAGAAAGAAAGAAAGAAAGAAAGAGAGGAAAAGAAAGATGTGACTATAGAAGACAAGGGTAGGAGTGTTTCATCCACCTGAATGGATTAGTTTGGCTTTTTATTTCTTCTGCATTTGTGTGGAAAATCCTGGTAACAAGGTCCTGATGTTGCCTTTGGAGCAGGTGCAGAAGTCTTCTTCAAACAGCGTGTGACCCAGATCAACCTGAGAAATAATGTGTGGGAAGTCTCCAAAGAGACAGGCTCCCCTGAGCAATTTGACCTTGTTATCCTCACCATGCCAGCTCCTCAGATTCTGGAACTTCAAGGTGACATTGTGAACTGTGAGTATGCCTTGCTGTTTACCTATTCAGGGAACATCAGATTGGGAGGGTGCAGATTTGCTCTTCTCTTTGAGAGAAAGATCTATTATCAATTCTGATGGTGTTATGTTTTAAAATGGTTATGGTCTACTTCCTGGTTAGTCTAGGTTATAATGAAACTTATATGTTTTTTTGGACTGGTTAGAAATTGAACAGTTCTCTTAGTGCCCTTGGTTTAAAACAACTTAGTGTTGCTTTTGGCTGTGCTGTAGTGTGGCCCAAAAGAGTTGTAGTGTGGTCATCCTGAAGAAAAGCTTTTCATCGTGGCTTCCTATTAGCTTGCCTCATCTCCTGTCTTCTGCTCTCGGATAAGTATTTACTAAGTATTTACTGCTGCTGGATGAAGTCTCTTAGCATCACTGATGAGTAGGTGGATGTGACAGAGGATACATTGTCCTGATGGAGCTAAAATTATGTTAAAAGAACAAAATTTATAAAAAAAATTATAAGGAAATTCCTTTGTTTAACTAAGAAAAGGGTTAAAAAAAAAAAGCATTTTCTCCCTAAACTAACATATTTTAAGAAGGAATTTGGTGGGCCATGGATAAGCAGAATAACCCATTTTGTAAGCAAATCCAATATTATTCTTTCATATTTTGGTTTCTTATGCATGGAAACTATTAAAATATTACAAAGGTTTTGTTGAAGAAAGCAAAAAGTCACTGTGAACCTGGGAAATGTAAATATATTTAGCTGGGTGGTCAGTTTTTGTTTCTTTATGTACCTGAGACATGACAAGTGGGGATTCTCCTCAGAAGCCATTCTCGTCATGGGTTTGAGCCTGTCCCTATGGTGCCAATTCTTCCTGCCTTCCATCTTCATAGAACCTAGATAATAGGGCTGTGGAAAATCAGTCACTCCCAATTCATGCTAAGGTGTGTTCAGGAAGGGCCAGGAAACCAGCATGGACTGTTTTGCCGGAATTTACTCAAGATGGCTTTCAACTCCAGATGTTCCCTCTGATTCATGATCCTGCTACCATGGTGGACTTCCCGGCTTCAGCGTGTGCCAGAGGAAACCCTGCTTCACTAAGCTGCCTTTTTCAGGTCTTTCGCCACAGCAACAATGAAAGTGACTAGTGTAGTTAGTGTGTACAGAATGGTGATTTTATCTGGCAAAATGGTCAGATATTGGCAATTTCACTTGAGCCAACAAAAGTGCTGTATATAAATAAAGGAGCTGAAATAAAGCAATGAGCAAGGACAGTCATTAGTGATGTGGATTTCAAGTTTTCTTAGGACATTACAGACTACTTTGAAGCCAGGCATCATGGTATCCATTTCATCTCAGCACTCAGGAGTCTGAGTCAAGAGCACAGCAAATGTGAGACTTGTGTGGGCTACATAGCAAGGGACTGGTGTATGGACGCACACACACACACACACACACACACACACACACACACATGCGCGCGCTCGCGCACACAGGCACATACCACTAACAACTTTAGCTTGTACGTTGCTGTGCATTGCTTGTTGGATTTTATTTTTGTTTGTTTGTTTGGTTTTTGTTCTGTTTTTTGTTGTTGTTTGATTTTGGTTTTTGTTTTGTTTTGCTTGGCTTGGTTTGGTTTTTCAAGACAAGGTTTCTCTGTGTCCCTCCTGTCCTGAAACTCTCTCTGGAGACCAGGCTTGCCTCAAACTCAGAGATCTGCCTGCCTTTGCCTCTCAAGTCCTGGGATAAAGGTGTGTACAATCACTGCCTGGCTCATAGGTGTGTCATTTCCAATTATAGTGGTATGCATTTTTTTTCACAAATTACTGAAAAGTCTTTAATAGCCAAGTCTTTCATTTTTTTCTTTTGAAACAGAATTTAAGTGTTGCATTTGATTTAGTGTTATTGATTTTAGATAGCTACCTTACTTTATTTATTTTAATATAAAATGTATAATGGCTAGAATATATGTGCTGGAATCAGGTTTCCTGTATTTTCCCCAAGCTCTAATCTAAAAACATACAATTTAGGAATGTGCTTTAAATGTAAATAACTTTTCTAGTTGGCCACTGTTATCCACCTTCATGGGTGGGTAGGGAAAGTTGGATGCCTAAGATTTGATTTGCTGCATTTAATGGCTACATTTGCAAAGTCACATATTGCCATCTAGTGGCACAAATATATTGCAGCTCCCTAGATTAGGCTAGAAAATGCCTAGAACATAGGAAAACACTCTGTGTATACTGTAAACCACACATCACAAGGAAACTAATATAATCCCAAGATAATGCATTAACTATGCACCCAAATCTGCAAAGTTTTTATAGAAGGTAGGGTATACCAGCCCACAATTATATCAGCTTCGGATAGCATGCTGACTGCTTTTCTGTTTTTCTTCTCATTCTCTGTCTCTCTCTAACTTGTCTGCTCTATGGAGTCAACATAATGCCATATTTTACCCGAAAGTTTTGACTATTGTTTCAGTCTATTGTGAGTTTTCTTTACTTATCTACTTATCTCATTTTTATTTTGTCTTTTATAGAAGAAACAACTACTTTTTTTAAATGTTGTTTCGCTGACTGATCAACATAATATTATTTATGATTTATTAAAGCTTGCCTGAGGATTCGGAAAGCAAAGTCAGCCTCAAGCTATAGAGATCAAGCAGTAATGATACACACCTTTAATCCCAGCAGCCATAGAGCTAGGTGGTATTGATACATACCTTTCATCTAGGACTCAGGATTAAGAGGTAGATGGATCTCTGTGAGTTCAAGGCTACCATGGCCTACACAAGATTGATCCAGTCCTAAAGAGAAACAGCTCACACAAAGATGATCTGAGCACCTGAAATCACACATGTTTAATCCCAGAACGAGAGGGGTATAAATGGTAGAAGCAGGGTCTTCAGTAGACAGTCTCAGGCATTCATTCTCCAACCACATTGAGGATAGGAAGACATTGAAGTCTCAGGAATCTCTAACCATGCTGAGGAGAGGCAACATGCTGAGGCTTGGTGAGAGATCATGGAAATCGGATCAGCCCTTTCAGCCTGAGGTAAGAGGTAGTGGCTGGCTGCTTTGTTTTCTAATCTTCAGCTTGAAGCTTAAACTCCATTTAAGACTTCTGACTCATTTATTTTTCATATTATAGTCAGGTGTTATTACAAATCTTTACAAGACTGTCCCTCATCTTCTACTTTTGTTAATTCTAGTTGTCCTTGTAATTCTTGAGGTTTTTAATTTAGTCAGGTATGCTATTTTCCTTAATATCTGATGTACTGACTGACTTTGTAATGACAAGCTACTCTCCCACTATGAAGTAAAAAACATATCCTTAATTTAATTATTTATGCTTTATATTTAAATGTTTATTCTACCTAGAACATGTGTGCCTTAGTTAGGGTTTTATTGCTTAAGAGACACCATGACCATGGCAAATCTTATAAAGAAAAACATTGAATTGGGGATGACTTACAGTTTCAGAGGTTTAGTCCATTTTTGTCATGGCAGGCAACATGGTAGCATTCAGGCAGACATGGTCCTGGAGAAGGAGCTGAGAGTTCTACATCTTAATCCAAGGCAGCAGAAGGAGACTGTGAACCATACTGGGTGAAGTGTGAGCATATAAGACCTCCGAGCCTGCCCTCACAGGGAAACACTTCCGCCAACAAGGCCAACCCACTCCAACAAGGCCACACCCACTCCAACAAGGCCACACCTCCTAGTTGTGCCACTTCCTATGGACCAAGCATTCACACACATGAGTCTACGGGCACCACACCCATTCAAACCACCACAATGTGTTTATTGTGTAAGGCATTAAACAGGTTACTGACTTTGTTTTCCCCTACAATAACAGCCATTTATATTGGCATCATTCACTTAATGTGAAATTCTTTTCTCTCTGACCTGAGATTCCTCACTTGTCATTTCTCTGAATATCTTTTCTGTTCCATTTTTTGCCACTTTGTTTATATCTTTGTTGTTTTCTTTATAGTCACTTGATGATTGTAACTCAGTTTTAGAATATCTCTTAGAACATCTATTTATTATTTATATCGATCTTGGCAAATGCTGTTGTAAGGACATTGCTTTGACTCCATTGTTGTTCATATACCTTTCCTTGCTTATTTGGTAGTCTATTTAGGGACCATGCATAATTTGTTGTCTTGATACAATGAACAGTGCTTAGGTTCACATGACCCTTTCAGTTACTATGAACAGCCCTGTTTTCTAGTGCTACAACCAGAACTTTGCCGAAGCCCTGAGGACTCTATAGTTCAACAAATACCAAGTCACAAATGAAGGATTGGTTACTCCATCTGGAAGCTTCCTCCCAGGAGTTGTTTCTGAATCACTTTCTTCCAAGGGAGGATATGATATACCTTCCCATTTGCAGGGTTTGTAGTATAGAGCATCCTTTCACTAACACAGATCCCCTGGAAGCCTGAGCTTTCACATAACTTTGGGTTTTCTTGTCTTGGCTGGCCAGTAGAACTCAGAATAATAAGGCCAGTTCTGATGGGTCATTTCCAGAACCCATTGTGAGCAGCTGGCTAGCATCTTTTCCTGGTAACGTCTTAACTTCAGATATGAGATCATTATTGCTTCTTGCCTTGAGAACAATAGCCAGAAGGATAATAAGTGTTGTGATATTTTGTTTGTGCTCTGACAAATGAAGCTTGCTTGAGATCAGAGGGCACAGCTAGCCACTAGTTAACCATAGAGCTCTGGAGGTCAGTACAGACAGGAGACAGAAAGTGATAAGGCTGGGCAGAGAGAGGAGGTGATAAGGCAGGTGTAGACAGACTCTCAGCCCTTTCACCAGAGGATTTGGAGAGGTAAGAAGTGACTGTGACTGCTCCTTTGCATCATTCAGAATTTATCTCAATATCTGACTCCTCTGGGTTTTTATTGATAAGACTAATTAGGATCACATTACAAATAGGGTTAAAAATTGTTGGATTAGGTTATTTTATTTTATTTTTGTGAGTCAGTCACTGTGTTGCCCAGGCTTGTCAAGAACTCATAAACTCAAGCAGTCCGCTCACTTCAGCCTCCTTAATGACTGTAAATAATGGCATGTGCCATCATACCCCACTCAGATAATTTAACTGTCTGGAAGTCTAGGGGTTTCCCTAGTATTTCTTTATTAATATATCATAATTTAATATGACTCTATAAAGAAAGTTGGCTTATTGATCCCCTCTACCCTACTTTAGGTTACTTTTTATCCCCAAAACTCAATTCAAGCTCATCCCCTCCAAAAGATATCTCCCTACTCCCCTTCTTGAATTATTTGTTATCCTGGTTTTCTCTGTATAATATTTTCAATACATGACTCATTGTGATTTATTAATAATTAAATTCAGCATGTCATATGTACCTTAGCTGGTAGAATTTAAAGATCATAAAAAATAGTTGCTTGCTGTCTTTCCCACTCCTGTTTTCCTAGGAGTCTTCCCAGGATCTCAGAAACCATAGGCTGTCAGTCTTATCTAATGACTAAACAAATGGAAGAGAACTAGGAATTGCAGCTTAAAGGGCATTCAATATAAAGAGAGACACTGCTTTAGAGAGAACCAGTTCTTAGCAAAACGAAAGTTGGATATAGAAATGACTTTTAAATATGGGGGACTGAAAATAGATTATCTTGGCAGGAGAGGCTTTGTAGTGGGAATTTCAGGGTATAAAAGTAGATATGGATTTGGAGGAGTGTGTGGTGTGCTGAATCTTAACATTTGTTAAAAAAAGCAGGGATGTTATTTCATGAGGAATACTGAATCAATCTTTGAAAACTTGTTTAGGCACATTGGATGGTAATTAACTTTACTCAATTGGATTTGAAGAAAAAAAATCTAGTAGAAATCAATGGAATATTACTGAAAGGTCTTTTAACCTTAACATAAATTCATTTTAAACTGATTCTTAAAATATCAGTAAGCTATATTGCAAAGTCTGTGACCTTGGTGTCCAGATGCTGTTGTATGACTGTGTGTTCTCTGAAGGGGGACACTGACAACATGCCAGATGAAAATACCTCCCGAAACATAGATTGGTGAGCCAAACAATGACCTTGATTGACTTACTTAAACATGGGTGACTGGAAGTCAACTGCATTCAAAAAACCACCCCAGCACCGGTGACAGCTCCTGAAAGATGTATTCCTGCAGTTCACCAGAGGCTTTACCTTGTCATTAACTGCATTTATAACTGTAAGAAGGAGCCGTGTAAGTCTTGTAATTTTCGGAGCTCCCTGGGCCTTCCAAGTTTAC